GATTTGATTTTATACAAGTTCTTCTGGATAGCGACGAACAATGAAAATTTCGACAATTCAGATTCGAAACTTCGTAGCATAACATTAAGGAACGTTACCACAGATATCGTAGCCTTCTCCGTCATCTGTATTATCCTTTTTCTACTCGTAATCCTCGCGTCGAAGTGTGAAAAGGACGAAGTGCGAAACGTTTTCGAATCTGCGGGAATAGAAACGTTAGTTTATGCAATTGATAATCGAGGAAAAAATTAATTTAAATAAAAACTATCTGATTAATCGAATAACCAGAGGATTATTCGATTGATTGATAAAAAAAAAAAAATAGGCAATTATTAATAATTAATGAAACAACAGATTCAAACACTGAAATCGATCACTCACAGAATCACGGTAGAACATCCGGAAGACCAATTCTGCGTTTCGAACGTAACTTCCAGTTCGACAAATTGCGTTCACGCATGCGGTGACTCGATTTTCTCCCGTGGACGAATACAAAACAGGAATTACTCCGACGAAGATATATCCAGAGTTCGTTCTTCCAGCAAGAAAAGGAGCACGATCCCGAAGAAATCGATTTTCGGCTTGAACGTTGCCCAACCGCAGAATTCTCAAAGCACCCAAACCACGGACAAAATATTCTACAAGAACAATCAAAAATGGCTGATAAGACGAACCAGGAGCGGCCATATCTACGGGAAATATCCAATATAGCGGAAGCCACGTCCATTCCTTTTGATATTTTTATTTATTCATTCAATCCATTTTCCAGAAGGCGAAGAAAAGGAAAAAAGAAAAATAGAAAAAAGAAGATGAATGATAAAACATTCCAATGAAAATTTTCATCGAAATGAAAACAGAACTAGTCATAAAGATAGGATAAAGTGATGTTATTGTTACTGATTCTCGGTTTAACATTCCAGACAATTATCAATAGTTTTATATTATCAAAGGTAATGAATCGCAGATGATGAATCATTTCTTCAAGGAAGAAGGTTGTCAAGCAATACGATTAAACAATCGTGGATCTAAAGGCATCTGAATCGTCATTTGGAATTTGTTATTTGTGCTAATTTTTTTCTCTCTTTCTCCCCCTCTCCCCCCCCTCCTCTCTCTCTTTCTTTTT